CCTCACACGTGGCCGATTCTCATTGGGTTTCTGTTGCCTGAAAGAACAAACATGCATATTGCAGGTACACCGGCCTCAATAACAGTGAGCGTTTGTGGGCTGGAAAGTTTTGAGTACTCATTTCCAAGGCAGATATAACTTAACAAAAAGTTCTAAAAACAAATTCTGTACTTGTGAAAGATGCCACCTGGTCTGCCTCAGGGCTGGAGCCCTCTTTTTGTGCACCGAGTGGGAACAGCACAGGGAATGAGGAAGCTGGTTGTCTTTAAACCACTCCCACAAAGTGGCTCAAGCCAAGAAAAGGGCCCATACCTTTTGGGGAAGAGTGCTATGCAGATTCTTATGCCCATTTCACCTTTGGTTTCACTACTACAACTGCCAACAGTCTGGGGAAGAGGGAAAGGTAGAACGTGTTTCGCGCCAGCTCTGATGATGTAACCTTAAAACTCACAGTTTTTCTGCCAGGGGAAAAAAAAGCAACTGGTTGAGAAACTGTTTTTTCCCCTTTTCTAATATTCAACTAAAATCTAATTTGCATCACTGACTACTAGCTTTTTTTTTTTTTTTTTTTAACATAGCTCACCACTGACTTTTTTCTTTTTTAAATTAACAGAACTTACTCATGTCTAATTCAACTGATTGGTTTTGGTTCCTTGGAAAACAAATGTATAGAGCCAGAAGTATGTTTATTTCATAAATGTCCCTTGTGCAAGAACACAAAGTTCTTCTCAGAAGCATTTACTCTGCAAGCCATAGAAATGCGCAGTGGGAGACCGGTAAACAATATGCATCTAAGCATCGTTAAGGGCATGCAGCCATGTGCGGCAGGGCTGCCAGAGACGCCAAACAACTATTCCAGGACCCTGGGCAAACAGATTCAGAAGTGGGATCACATTTCAGAGCTTCATCAAATTAGAATACATTTCGGAGTCTTCTACCAACGAATCTAACAGATGTTCCCTTTTGTCAGGTTTGTCTAATTTGTAGTCTTTTTAGGGTACAACAAATCAATATTTTTTCCTACATATGATGACAAGTTCCAAAAGTAGTCTTTTTCTTTTCCAATTGCTGGGAGTAGTTAACGTGAGTATAATATCTTTGCCTACTGCATGGACAAGCTGGGACAGAGGAACAGTCAGACTGGAATGGGGTTCCCCCCAGGTCCACGATATTTCTCTATGCCCATGGAGGAGATGGTGGGAATGCAAGCCTTCTCTTGGTAATTTTTACCCAGTGTGGATGGGACTATTGGTCTCCCCTGAGCCTCTCCCTGTCGAATGTACTGCATGGGGCTTGGGACTTCCTAGAAAGAGCCATAGCAGAAGCCAAAAGGAGTACAAGCCTCAGCTGGGGCAAGAGTTTGACATCGGCTTTGGGCAGGTCCACATGGGATGCTTTTCCTATGACTCTTGAAAGAACTCTCCAAGTCTGAGTCTATAATCAATGCTTGGATAGCTAAGAGTTGACAAGATAGTATAAAACACAGAACACAAATGAGAGCTTAGCACAGTCAGTTCTCAAAACCTATCCCATGACTATGGCCCTCTTGAAATGGCATTATGTCTGTTCTATGCTCTGAACTCTGGAAGAATTAATCAAAAGTATTAACAACTTTAGCAAATATCTAAGCCCTTATAGAAGTCATACCCCAAGTTTATTTCTTTTATGTTAATCTTTCTCTAAAACCTCGTTTTGAAAACTTCTACTTAAAGATATAAGAATGTGGCCGGGCGCGGTGGCTCACGCCTATAATCCCAGCACTTTGGGAGGCCAAGGTGGGCGGATCACGAGGTCAGAAGATAGAGACCATCCTGGCTAACATGGTGAAACTCCGTCTCTACTAAAAATACAAAAAATTAGCCGGGCATGGTGGCAGGTGCCTGTAGTCCCAGCTACTCGGGAGGCTGAGGCAGGAGAATGGCGTGAACCTGGGAGGTGGAGCTTGCAGTGAGCTGAGATCGCGCCACTGCACTCCAGCCTGGGCGACAGAGCGAGACTCCGTCTCAAAAAAAAAAAAAAAAAAAAAGATATAAGAATGTTTGGTAGTTTGTTTTGGTATTATAAACGTAGTTCTACCAAGTGAATTTGTATCAAGCAGGAAAAAAGTACAAGACCTTTCAGTGAGGCATTTTCCAATATTTTGGTGAGAACTACTTATTCACCTAGAAGACTGCCAATTAGGCAACTGATAACTGTGTATTGCATTTATGCAAGGCATTAAAGAAAAGACTTGTCCTGTAGCTTGCAATTCAGCAAAAGATTTTAAATAATCTGTATCACCAATTAAAGCTATGATGGGTAGATTATAATATAAATATAGATTATAAGATTAATATAAATTCAGTGTTACAAAGAGCTCTGGGGAAGGCTAGACTAATTGTCCTCAGGGGAAATGGCTGGTAGAGATGGCATTTGAATAAGGCCTTAGAAAGGGTATAGTATTTCAACAGGAAGAGGGGGTTAGAGAAGGGCCTTGGACATGGAAGGAGCAGCTTTAGCAAAGGTACAGAGGCAAGAGACTGCTGGCAACGTAAGAAAACTTCAAGTGCTCAGGTCTGGCTGAAGGACACAGTATATGAGGGGAAGTAACCGAAAAATGATCTAAAAGGGTATGCTGTGGAGAATTCTTAACATAAAAAAGAAGAAGGAAAAAAAAAAGGAGGAAGGACATGAGAAAGCTGGACTTTGGAGACAGGAAAAATGACTAAATATATCTTTCCCTAATCATTTCCCACACATTTTAGATTTTTAGAGTGAGAATACTTTATTAGCAAGTTTATTTGCAAATTAGGTGTAGTAACTTCCAAGAAAAACAACCTAGCTGCTGGAACAAATGTTTTTCTGAGCTGGCAAACTATTGCCTGCAACTTAACTAATATATTCATATTGCCCACATCTTGCAATTGTTTCATTAACTCTTTTCTCATCACCAAAGCACCTTTGTAATTTAACTCATTAGTTACACAATGAGTGGCTACGCTAGAACTGGTACTTGCTCCCTTATTTACCCATCCTCTCTTTTTCTGCCCCAGCTTATCCCTGCTAAACACTCACTCGTTCTTCTCCTATGAACTATATCAATAATAATAACATTCATGGCTATTACTTGCTGAGTGTTTGCTATAGTGCCAGGCCCTGTGATTAATGCTTTATAAACAGTATTAATATAATCCTGAAAACAACACTACGAAATAGGTATTATTATGTCTATTTTATGACTGAGGAAACAAGCTCAGAGAAGTTATATTTTGTGCCAGCTGGTGAGCGGCAGGAACCAGGTTTAAACCAGATCTGCTTGACTCACAGCCCGTGCCTTATGCCACATCATTCTACTGCCTCTGGTATCCACTGATCGCTTACTAATATGGGTCAGTATTTTCAATTAAAAAAATAATAAAAGACTCTTTGGGGCCAGGCACTGTGGCTCATGCCTGTAATCCTAGCACTTTGGGGTGACGAAGCGGGCGGATCACCTGAGGTCAGGAGTTCAAGACCAGCTTGGCCAACATGGTGAAACTCTGTCTCTACTGAAAATACAAAAAATTAGCTGGACGTGGTGGCTTGTGCCTGTAGTCCCAGCTACTCGGGAGGCTGAAATCCGAGAATCACTTGAATCCTGAAGGTGGAGGTTGCAGTGAGCTGAGACTGCACCACTGCACTCCAGCCTGGATGACAGAGTGAGACTCTGTCTCAAAACAAACAAACAAACAAAACAAAACAAAAAAACCATTCTTTGGGAGGCCGAGGCAGGAGAATCACTTGAACCTAGGAGTTTGAGACTAGCCTGGGCAATATAGCGAGACCTGGTCTCTACAAAAATAAAAATAAAAAAATTAGGCATGCATGGTGGCGCCTGGAGTCTTAGCCACTTGGGAGGCTGAGGTAGGAGGATCACTTGAGCCCAGGAGGTTGAGGCTGGTCATAAGCATGCCAATACACTCCAGCCTGGGTACAGAGTGAGACGCTGTCTCAAAACAAAAATTAAACATTCATTGAGTGCCTGCTACTGTAAAATCCTGTTCTAGGTGCTGTGTCAGATATATTTTTAAAAAAGAGAATGCCTATAGATTATTGATGTTCATAAGCTCCCATATTTGAGTATAAACAGCTGTGTCATATTGGTTTTTAAGATGATGTGTCCATGATTTATAAATTAGAGCAACTAAGGTGGGAAGGTGTAAAAATGGCTCAGTATTTTTACTAAGAATGCTAGATAGTGACCACATCTACTCACAGACAGAAATCAGTCAACTGTGACTAAATGACTCACAGAGAAGTTTAATAATACATTTCAATCAGAGTCTGTAAAAACTCTCTCTGCTGATGAAAAATCTGTCCTGTCAGAAGTTCCCAACCAAATCTGCTTATAATCCATTTTCAATGAACCGCAGCTTCCTTTGAAGTAGAATAAGCTACTAAAGCATTTCACCCACAATACGCACACTATGAATCCAGGCCTTACAAAATTCATTACTGATGAATAATGTTACTTGGTTAGAACACAAATGCGATATCAAACTACTTCTCCATGTAGCCTGAATGTTGTGTAAAATTATACACAGTTACTTCGATGCAGCAAAATAAAACATATTATCTTTTTAAGCTATCTATTTTTAATATGAGCTTTACTAACTTCTGAGTCAGTTTTTGCTAAATATTTTAAAGATGTTTAGTAGCCCACTGTGGGCTACAACTATTCGAACTCCAGGGAACATCTGGAAGGAGTCCCAGTTTTGGACTCAGTCTGCCTATTCTTTTCTCTCTACAAAGGTACAGTATTCATGTTACCAAATGCACAATAACACTTGCCAAAAGGGTGTAGCAGCAAGTACTAACTGCATTTACTCTGCAACTGAAACTCTTAATATGATGAATTTTTTAAGGAAACAAAAGTCAATGAAGAGAAATAAATGTAAGAGTTCAAGAGTGGCAAAAGAAAGAATGAGACATATTGGTTAGCAAGAAGTAGCACCGGGCTACCTAATGTTAATGACACTTACTGCTCAATTCGAGGTGACAAGTACAGCTTGGGGTACACCTGGGTGGCTTCAGTGTCCTCAAAACTAACAGAGAGGAGGGCCACATCTTCTCCAGGGTCTTCATTTACATCCTTAAACAAGAAGTAAAAACACAACATCAGCACCTGTTCTCCTAACATCTTATTAGTGACAAGCTCACAGTCCACTGGCATTGAAGTCATGACTGTGAGTTACCCTTATTCCACTTTAGCTTAGCTGCTTAGCACATCCTTTCCACACACCTACCCACTCCTCTAGAGGGATGGATTTTAAACTTTCTGAGCAAAGCCCACCACAGCAAAGCGAAAGACCTCCACCTATCTCACTTGTTCCCACATTCGGGGGTAAGGGGCAGGTAGTGAACCCGGTGGTAACAAAGAATTCAGCAAAAATATAATTAAGTTGCAGTAAACATATTACTATAAACATAATTTATATCCTAAAACATCAAAAAAATTAAAAATCCAGTAATTTTCTTATACCTACCTTGACAGTATGTTGTAAGTTATTTAAATAGCAAAAATTCCCAGGAAACATATCACCATGAAGAGTGTCACCATACAAGCAAATGACAAGGGGGTTAGGTACACATCTACTTTGGCAAAATAATAATGGATGATTCACATGCCAACCACAAGACATACATATTTAAAAGTCTAGTTATAAGAACACTATAAGACAAAACATTGTTGATCCAAGTATGTACCAATAAATATCGTGAGGTTAACCAAATAACACACAATAAGCTAAACTGATAATGATAAAACTAAACTTACTGTAATTTATAATTAAAAAGCAAGAATAGCAGGAACTGAATATTATAAACAACTCAGGCCAATGCTGATGATACACTGATGAAGTGTCCTGAATCAAAATTGTGGAATTTACAACTATGTGCACGTGCTTTATGATTATTGCCAAGCACCAGGTGTCTGCCAGGCTTCTGAATAAAATACTGAATTAAAATAAATCTCGTAGCACACATTGATTTTAATTTGTGAATACTAAATTTTAATAACTCTTAATTTATTTTTGGTTGGTAGTGGCTCCAAGTCAAATATATACATTTTAAACAATTACTAAACACTTAATATGTGTTAAACACTTAACATCTTCCACTCATAGAGACTGGTAAGAATGGACCTATATTTCTGGATCAGTTCATAGGTCCTCAGGAGGTTTCAGCAGCCACACCAGCAGCAAGAGAGGGAGGGGTCGCACCTAGACTTTAAGACTCACTACTCATGAGCTTGCCATTGTATCTTCAACCTCAGATACAATGTCTTTTGTCCGTCAGGCCACCCTTTCTTTTCTTTCATCCTGGGAAGTTGGCCATCACTCATCCTGCTCAACTCCAGAACCTTCAGTCTCCTTGCTCTGCATTCTCTTGTGCCTATAAGATGGATGAGTGTGACATGTATACACAGGGACAAGAACCACAAGTCTCTCCCATCCTAAAAAAGAAACATTTTTAAAGGAAAGGAAAGAATCTTGCTGAACTCTACAGAGTTCCTTGGATTCTCTCTCCTCTCTCTCCTCCCCTTCACAGACTGCTTGGAAGAGTTATCTACCCACTCTCTATTCCCTTCCCTTCCACTTATCCCTTAGCCCACAACAATAGCCTACTACTGACCCACAAGTTCAATGAAGACCGTTCCCACCAAGGGTAACCACTAAATGCACCAAATGCTTCTCTGTCCTTTTCTTACTTGATGTCTAAACAATATTTGACATGGGTAACCACTTGCCTCTCCAAACTCTCTTTTCTTGCTGTTCTTTTCCTATCTCTTTGGCCACTTCCCTTTCCATTTTCTTTCTTTTCAAAAAAATTTTAGATCACAAAATTTAAAAAAATTTTAGATTACAAAATTTAGGCTTGTCTTACCAAGTCAAACCATACAGAAGTTTATAAAGAGAAAGCTCTTCCACTCCTCCCTTGCCCCCCATTTTTCAAAGTAACCAATATTAACCAATGTGTAGGTAGCTTCAAACTACTTTCTTTATGCTCATAAAAACATATACATGACACATTTGCATATAAACAGCTCTTTAACCTCCTGTTTTGTTTTCCCTAATGGAATCATACCGCTCCACCAACTGCTTTTTAAATAGCCACATAATATTTCATGGCATGGATTTATTTTTTATTAAACCATTTCCTTAGCAACAAACTTCAGGTTGTTCACAATTCTTGGCCACTTGATAGTGCTGCAATAAATATTCTTTTGTGTGTGTATGTGTGTGTCAGTGTGTGTACATGTGTGTGTGCACATCTGTTAGTAGTGGGACTTGTATTTTTAAATAGAGAACTAAAACTGAGCTTGTTGGGTCAAACATTATGAACATTTTACATTTCTAAAGAATTTGATAGATTATTTTCTAAAACTTTTGCAACAGGCTGGGCGCGGTGGCTCATGCCTGTAATCCCAGCACTTTGGGAGGCCGAGGTGGGTGGAATACCTGAGGTCAGGAGTTCGAGACCAGCCTGGCCAACATGGTAAACCCTGTCTCTACTAAAAACACAAAAATTAGCCAGGTATGGTGGTGCACGCCTGTAATCCCAGCTACTCGGGAGGCTGAGGCAGGAGAATTGCTTGAGCCTGGGAAGCAGCTGCAGGGAGCCAAGATGGTACCACTGCACTCCAGCCTGGCTGAGTGAGACTCTGTCTCAAAAAAAAATAAATACATGCAAATTAAAAATTTTTTTAAAATTGCAACAATTCACATTTGGACCTGTGAGTTTGTATAAGCCTGCTTCCCCTCATCCTGAATCACTGGATAACACTGGCTGTTACCACTGTTTTTAACATCTGGAAAACGGTATCTCCACTTAGATTCAATGAATGAGGCTGAGCAACTTTTTACTTATTTATTGATCATCTACATTTCTTTTGTAAATTTCCTAGTCAAATCCATTATCCATCTTGCTTTCAGGTTCTTAGTCTTTGTTGTTGTTGTTCATTGGATTTCTTAACCTTTTTCTGTCACATGTGCTAAAACTATTTTCTCTTTTTGAGTTTTTACTTCATTTGAGGGCTCTTCTGCCATCACAGAAAATTTAGATTTTTGCAGAGTTAAATCTGGTCAATAACTCTGAGGTTCTGTAACTACTTCTCTAGTTTTTAATCTTATATTGTTATAATTTTAGTTTTACATTGTAGATTTGCAATACCTCTGGAATATATTTTTAGGTGGCATGATATAAGAAGTATAGTTTTGTTTTGTCCTGTTCTGTTTCTAATTGGGTGAGGAGGGGGATGAGTGGGTAAGAGCAGGCTCTTAGCACAGTATCTGGCATACGGAAACCACTCAATGTTAGCTGAATGAATAAATCAGTGAACAAATGAATGTTCATCCCTAACTTTTATTCTCTACATCTAGAGATTTTTCAGGAACCTACTTTACAAATTTTTTTGTCACCAATGATGCCTAGAAACTAAATGCTGGCTCCCTGCTCCTGGCCTTGTTAATACACCAAGTCCTCCAGAACTAGTGACTAAAAAAAGGAGAGCCCAGGTCAGAAGTCTGAGCTTTCTGATCACTTCTTGCTCTTTTATAGATGATAGAGTATTCAACTTTGAACTTTCCTTTCTGTAAAATGAGAATGAAAATTGTAAAAAATACGGCCAGGCATGGTGGCTCACGCCTGTAATCCCAGCACTTTGGGAGGCCGAGGCAGGTGGATCACGAGGTCAGGAGATCGAGACCATCCTGGCTAACACGGTGAAACCCCGTCTCTACTAAAAATACAAAAAATTAGCCAGGCATGGTGGCGTGTGCCTGTAGTCCTAGCTACTTGGGAGACTGAGGCAGGAGAATGGCGTGAACCCGGGAGGCGGAGCTTGCAGTGAGCCGAGATCGTGCCACTGCACTCCGGCCTGTGTGATAGAGCAAGACTCCATCTCAAAAAAAAAAAAAGAAAGAAAATTGTAAAAAATACTTAAGGTCTGCAACAAACAGAAACTACTCAATTGTATAATATGACTTTAAAACTCATCAAACATCTAAAACTAAGGCTAAAGCTGAGCTTGAAGACATTCATAGGAACGAATTCATTTTATGATCTAAGTGTAGAAGTAGCCCTATGTGAGTGAGATTGGTCAAAAAAGACAATTAAAAGAGAAATAACATTTACTTTCAGAAAACTTTCCCCAATAACTAAGATTTCTTACGTAAGGTCAAGGCTAGAGGCTATGATCACGAATCACATAACCTTGCAAAAAACACACTGCAAAGAACCAGGGGCCACCAAAATCCTTTTTAATTGGGGGCTTTATTCCATATGCCTACGGATAATTTATAATTATTTCCCTTTCTGACTTTCAAACTTTCAATTTCACTACTATTTCAATAAAGAGCGGAAATGCTTAGAGACAATCTTCCAAACAAACAGAATGACCCTGGTTTATATAATCAGCATTTATCATCTGGCATCCTGAAAAAAGTACATAAAACATGAGTCTGAATATGAAACTAGTTATTTCCAGGAGTTCGTTTTATATGTTTTATTCCTGTTGGTATGGCACATGAGATTTCCCTGAAATGGTATTTGATTCCTAATGGATATCTAAGTTTGAATTTGAGTGCTTAAACAAGCCCATAGAATTCCAAAAATACAAATCCACACAGTGCTGTTTCCAGTTTCTGCAACTCTAACAAGCATGTACATGTGTTCCCTCCCATCTGGGAAATTAGAAAAGAAGCTCCTGTACCATGGTTCTGAGAAGCTAACATTACGGATGATTACTGTAACCACTAATGGCAGCATTTGGAAAACAGGGGGTGGTTACAGCAAAGTAGGGGACATTTAAAAACGCACAAGTATACATTTTCAGGGCTCTCTATCTGCACCATTTGAAACTGCAAAAGGCTTAAAATGGGAGGAAAGATACCGAATTTGATAAAGCTAAAGAAGAATATTGTCTCCCACCTTTATAAAAGTCTGCCAGGCACTGACACACATACAGTGAAGCAATAATGGCCATGATACTCTGGTGAGATGTAACAGTGGGTCTGGCTCAGCACCTGATTAAAGCCAAAAGTTCCTATGGCGTATAATGAATATTCACTATAGGTGAGCTCCTGGCAGGCT